TCTTAAATCTTACAAAAAATCGATACAGCAAATGGAAAAATAAATGCAAGACTCTAGAAAATGATTTATTACTTGCCAATGTTCAACTGGACAATAAGTGGGATAAGTGGAAAAATTGTGCTCGAAATTTTGAACAATTAATAAATAATTTACAAGCACAAATTTTATTGTTACATAATAATCTACCAAATATAGCTACAGTTGCAGGAGACTTAACCAGTATTGCACCATTAATTGCAGAGATTCTAAATTATAGTGGACAAATTCCACCAGATGAATGGTATCAAAGAATTAATCAAATATTAACTTTACCATCAATTACAGCAGGCGCCTTTAATAATGCACTTTGAGCAGATATTTTAAAAAGTAAGATAGCTGGAAAATATACAAATATACCTGCACAATACCCCGTAGGTACAAATATTGATACTCCAGCTTATTTTATTGTTTGGTTGCATTATAAATATCAGACAGAGACAGTTGGAACACAACAAGTTGCTACTCAAAGATTAGCACAAGAAAAATTCTTACTATTTGATAATCCAGAATCATATGAGGTTAGAATCCATCCTCTTTTATTAGGGGTTGCTGATGGTGATGCCAATATCTTAGGACTTTTTAAGGGTTATTTATCAGGAGAGCTTTATACTTGGATGAAAATTGCTAACCCTGGTGGCATTAATGCATTTTTTACAGAACTTAAAAATATGTGGTTAGAACATCCTCCAAATTTGTATAAAGGCTCCATTCCTGACCAAATCTCTCAAACTCCAGCTGTTAATATACAAAATAAATCATATTCCAATAGTAGTGGTATATCTTGAGCTGAACTAGATAGTATAATAAAATCACAATTAGCTTTACTACCAACTTCTTCTATTTAGTCTTCACAGCTCCAGAAAATACAAGCTTTATAGTCTCAGCAAAAGCAACCCAATTTCAGTAACTACCTTAGAGTACCAGATAAATATATGCCAGAAAAACCACCAGATGGGTATGGCGTAAATTTTGAAAAATTTATTCATTGTGATCTTATAAACCCAACTCCTTCAGCCAGCCAAATTATAGAATCTTTAGCTAATGATCTTTATAAAAAAGTGTCAGATATGTTTTCGGCAAAGCCAGTGCAATCAAAGAAAAATATTGAAGTGGACTCTGACGAAGAACTGGCTGATCGTATGAGTAAGTTATCAATAAATAAGACTTTGTCGAAAGGTTTTGAGGCAGGAGTTCATGCTATTATTAAATCATCCAAATACTGTTGTTCAAATTGTAATAGAACTGGACACAATTCTCGTAAGTGTTCTAGAAAGAAATCTAAGAATTCCAAGAGATCTAGCAAAAATAAAAAAGGTAAGATTAATATGGCTATCAATAATTCTGGTTCTGATTCAAATTCTAACTCTTCTGATAATAATTCTGATTCTGGGTCTGATTCTGATGACACCTTCTCTGAATCTGAGTCTGAAAGTGATGTCAAAGTTCATATTACCAAGGCAAAAAAAAAGTAAATTAGAAGAGTAATTCGAATAAATCATCTTCTGGAAAGAAGTCCAAATCACATAAAGCAAAAAAAGACACATCTACTCCAGATAAGTCTCGAAATAAATCAACTCATCTTGAACAGGATATTCAACGAATTTTACTGGAAATGCTTGAAAAGGTTTTACTCCCACATCAGTTGGAGAAACTTAAATCTGAGAACAAAAACTTAACCACTCCAGATTTTATGAATTATAGAGAACCAGCCCCAGAAATACCTGAGTCAGAGGAAAAAGAAACTTTAGATGATCCTATAGAAATAGACTTTGTTAAAAAGAAGGAACCTATAACAAGTATTGCAACTATACCAGTTAAAATCAAATGTTTAAAAATTCCAGCAATGGTCCTTGATAGTAGGGCTGAGCTTCCAATTATATCAGAAGACATTGTCAAACAAGTAGATTGAAAAATTGATAAATTGGTAAAGTATGATCTTAGTGGTGTTGCTACTGTTCCAACAGAATCTATCGGTGTCACTCATAATTTCTCAATAACATTACCTCCAGGTTTTACTATAGATGAAGATTTTGCAGTTGTACGAGTTCCTAAACCAACATTAATATTTCCAAATCCACTTCTCAAGAAATATAAATGTGCCGTAGACTGGGGTAATGATAAAATGAAGATTCATTATAATGGAGAAGATTTTATTATTCCAGTAACTATGCATAAGGTTAAAAATAAGCTTGAAGTGAACTGTGCAACCACATCTCAGGATGATAAGCCTTTGATATCTGATCAAATTTCTCAGGAAGTTGATAGTGATGAGGATGACAATGTACCATTAGAAGAGTGGTGTGCTTCTACAGATTTTAGCTTAGATTCTGTCAATTTAACTTTAGCAAAGCAAGCACCAAAAGTGCTAAAAAAAAATGCATGAGTTATGAGGAGTTAGAAAAATCGCTATATACTACTCTCAA